TGAAGCGAAAAACCGCAAGCAGAGAGGACGGAGGGAGGGTCCGGGCTGGCCCGGGCAGCTGCTGTTTAAGCCCTGTCTGGTCCGGCCGGTGGGCCCGTGAAGCGCCAGCGGTCTGACCGGGGCAGCGCCTCAGTGTGGGTGCTGCCGCCCGGCCTCGGTGCCAGCCTCGGGGGATAAAACGGGTCACTGCCAGTAAAAACATTTCCTAGGGAAGGAAAACTTGGAGCCCATAAAGAAAAGGTCTCCTAAATCGCTGGCAAAATGAATAAAACAGCAAGCTGCTTTGTCTAGAAACAGTTGTTTCAAATCTGTGGGTAGGACTCTGGCCCTTCCTTAAAAGCTGCAGAGTATTTAGTGTTTGCCTCAAACTGCAAGTACTAAGCGAATCAAAGTAGATTTCTAGGTACTTTTCGTGTACTTGCACTTTTGTCCATCACTGTCTATGATGACTGCGGAATGGCATTTATATGCTTACTTCCACTTGTCTGCATAAAAGAAGTATTCTTAAATACTGAATGAAACTCATATATAACTCATATAACAGTGATCAGATCTATATCAGAGTAAAAACTATTGTCATTCTTAACTCTGAGATTTATTTCAAAGCTGATGTTTGTTTTCTGACTTGCTTTCAAGATTGCTAAGCATCCTAAAATGTTCAGACTTCCTAAGCTCCAATAAAAAGATACTCTTAAAAACTACTATGCTGCAGTAGATCTCTTCTTACTGGTGTTGCTGTTGTCCTTTTGTAGCGCCGAGGTTGTTCAGGAAGGAGAAACTTCACAGCCTTTCGAAATACAAAACTGATTCCCATGGAAACATCCTCATCCTCTGATGACAGTTGTGACAGTTTTGGTTCTGATAATTTTGCAAACACAGTAAGTACAGTACAAGAACAAATAAGATTAGATGTGCAGTACTAGTAAAGATTGCAAAAATGTAAAGTTAATAATGTAAAACTACTTGCTCTGCTTATGTTTTTGTATAATAGTTATAAACCTGTGCTATGTGCTGTAATTTCATTTCACTCTTTACTTGTGCTTCTAGGTGGTAATTGTTGGAAAAAGATTAGCTATCAATTCTAGCCTTTGATATGTCACCTAACCTAATGTGCCTGGTAATTTGCAGCCATGGTTCTGAAACCCCTTGTCAAATGCTTTAACTTTTTTTTTTTTCCTTTATTAAAAAGCTATTTGTTTGTACTGCGCTTAATAATGTTAATAATTTTCTGTAAAACTTAAGTTAAAGGATATTTTATTTTTTATAGAAATCCAAATTTAGATCGGATATTAAAGAAGAACTAGCAAAAATTTTTTATGAAGCCTCGGATGATGAATCTTTCTGTGGCTTTTCAGAAAATGAGGTTCAAGATGCATTGGTAAGACAGTTGATTTTAGTTCACTATTTTATATTTAAATTCTTACACATTTTTAATTGGACGATAATGCCAGCTTCAGCTTGAAGATTCAGTGTTTCAGAAGGAAGCATAATTTCATTTAGTGAACAGTCCAAGGAACCAGAGTTTAGTTTTCTTTTCGCCTCTGTGAAAAGCACTTGAGATACTGAGCTTTTAAAATCTGCCATATGTATTTTGAAATGTACCTCTTAAAACTGTCCTTGCTGGACATTACTCTATTGGAGCCTAACATTTCTGGTTTCCTCAGTATGAAATGTTAGGGCAGCCCATGGACTCCAACAAACCTCAGAAAAATTCCTCTGTGTCTTGACATGCAATCAGACCTCCACTCTGGGAGCATAACAGGGAATGCTGTGCATCTTTCAACATCTTGCCTTTCTACTTTTCCTTGATAGCAGTTTTATTGTTTAAAAAGATCAATTGCTGATATTCAGAAGAGAAACTGAAGTAGTACCACATTTGGCAAAACCAGGTTTGTCATAATGTCAGCACATGCTGAGCAATAACTAGAAAAGAAAAAATGTCTAATTGGAAGAAATCACATCTGAGTTAAAACACAATAGTTAAGTAGGAGACAAAACTGGAATGGATATGTAGAAAAGAGTCAATAACTACATATAATGTGTAATCAGAATCACATATCTGCTTTATAAAAAGCCTGTGTAAATAAAGATGGCCATTTGATGTCCACTGTTACTGCTGATCTAAATAAGACCATCTTGGTGTGTCTAAAAAGAAAAATTATAATCTATTACATAACGAAATTTTAACTAAATTTATGTCCTCACTGAACCACTGGTTCTTGGGAAATTGTAAGCAAGACATCAGAATTCAAAGATTAGAAAATACTGTGATTTTATTCACAATTATTTCATTGGTTGGCTCTAGAAGAAAGTTTCCTTTTTTTATCATTGGTACTGTGAGATTACTTGTACTTGGCAGCTTACAAAATTGGGTTTGACCTTGTGCAGAGAACTGCACAGTGGCTCTTTTTACAGCCAAATGCTATATGTAGCAAAATGGAGCCCTTTAAAGGCAGTTCTCTTTCTCATACCATACACACAAACTGTTCTTGCTATTAGACCTGCAAGTCACAGCTAAGACTCCTGCAACTGGACCTACACTCCCTTTTCTGGTGTGCTTGGCACAACCATTTGTGTGTCCCTGAGAGGTTTTTATCCCCTTGTCCCCGCTACTCCCCTCTAAAATGCACTAGAACATTTGGACTGGATGTCTGAATTTCAGCCAGGTAGCCTTTTAAACTGTTCCTAGACAAAATGTTGTAAATTGCATTTAACTGCAGAGCAACTCTCGTGGATTTACACACTTTCATTTTGGTTTGTTAACAGAAATTGGAATCGGATTCAGATGAGACTGATGCAAGTGCTGAAAGTGATAGAGAGCAGAGAGGACAGAAATGCCCTGTTCCTCTGAAAGTAGCCATGAAGTTTCCACCTCGAAGATCAGAAAGAAGGAAGGGTGGGATGGAGCCGGTTCCTGAAACACCAATGCCTGCTCCAGATTCAGATTCTGACACTGAAGAAAACGGTGCTATGTTTTTAGAAAAAAGAGCTTTAAACATAAAGGAAAACAAAGCAATGGCAAGTACTCTGTCTTCCTGTGGACTGGCCCTTTTTCCCCCCCTCCTAGGGGACCCCTGTTTAAATTCACTGCAGTGGGAGTTAGGTGAATGCATTAAGATGAATTTGCATTCCTAAAATATAAATCTGATATTTTATATTTACTGGCATATGAAAATCCATAGGCTGCAAGCCTAACGACATAATAAGTTTGAGCATTTCCAAATTACTTGCAGTCACTAAAACACAAATAAGACATAAATGTAAAGAGTTGAAGAATGACTGCATTTCCTATAAGTAATTGTACTTTTAGCCAATTGCCCTAGTATTCTGTAATAGCACATAAATACCCTTTTAAGGCTCTGCTTCATTTTTCTCTCTCTTGTTAGCTTGCAAAACTAATGGCTGAGTTGCAAAATGTTTCTGGTATCTTTGGTGGAAGAAAATCGTTGCCAGCTGTCAGTCATGTGAGTATAAACTTACTGTATTTGCATTTTGATTTCTAAGAGTCAAATTCTGACATTACAGAGCAGGATTCTCAATGTAAAAACTTAATAAACTGTGCAAATCAAAGCCCAGTTAGAATTTTATGGCTTCCTAAAATGGGTATCCTCACTGTGTAATTCTCTTGATTTGCTATGGTATAAAGCAGAACAGATTAATTTATAAAGGTTAAATGTGTCTGCAGGCCAATAAAACCAAACAAGGTGCTGTGTAAATAAGTGTTTATTACAAAGGCTGGAGATAAGGGAGGGTATCTCAGACCCGAATGTTCTGTGAGTTTGGAGCCTTGAAAAACACCTGGCATTTAGCCTAAATTTAAAGAAGGTTGGGTTGTAAATCAGCAGTGTAATGGATTTCACTGCTGATGTATTTGTAATTCGGGTGAAGATTAGAAAAACGCTGAAAATTGCAGCTCCTCATAGACATAGGTTCTGCTGCTTTAGTCTGTTTCTCTGTCACTTGCCTAAGATGAGCTTGCTTAGGACCTTCTTACCTTACATTTTCTGACTGGAACAGGGATAGACATGTCTTTGGAAATAAGAGAGGAAGGCATCTTTAGGGCAGGAATTCAGTAGGGTCAGGAGCTGTGTTTTCACCTGTTTCATTAGGGGCTTTTAAACATTAGCAGGGACCAAAGCGGCTTCCAAGGCGTTCATTGCCCACGTGTGCCTTGAGGAGGAACCCAGACCGGAGTTCTCGGCCTCACACAAGGTCCAGGTCCTTGATTGAAGGTCCTCCTACTCTGGATATAGAAGAGGAAGAAGATGACCGGTACATCTTAGTTAGAAGAAGAAAGATGTCTGATGAATACCTGGAGGTACGGTGAAGATCTAGTTCTCCTGTTGTGGGTTTTGGGGGTGGTTTTGTATGAAGGTTTCCCTTCAAGAAAATAGCGATTCATAGAGAGTGTGCCATATCCTTGAAAGAATTAAAAAAAAAAAAAAAAAAAAAAGGCATTTTGTATGTGCTCTCAGTTTCCCCTTCCTTGTCCTTGAAAAAGCAGTTCCTCTTGGACTCCAGCAGAAGTGAAGCAAGATCAGTAGCATCACTGCACCCTGACAGGGACAGATCAAGTAAAGGTGCTAAAGCTGCATCCATATCATATGTCTGTACAAAGATGTATACATCTTGCTTAAATATATCATGGCTGTTTGAGACTTCAGCATTGCTGTGACACCTCCTTTGTAGAGCTTTTGCTGAAATTAGTACTAAAATAATACTAATGCTGAAAATGTTGTGTCTTTGCTATTCAGAATGAGGCCCGTACTCCCAGGAGGGGTCACCGTGGTGCCATGGCTTTTCCACATGTTGTGCGCCCAGTTGAGGACATAACATCAGAAGAGCTGGATAATATTTGTGGATCTGCAAGAGACAAAGTATATAACAGGGCCATAGTAAGTGTATTGCAGCTTTGTGAAATGTGTACTTTGTGAAGTCATTTTTTTGTTATTCCATGTTTGTTTTAGCATCAAATACAGCACATTCCCTCTCACTGAGAGAGAGGATGTGGTTTTGGGGAGAAATATGCCTGAGATCTTGGTATCCCTTCTTATTTTTGTCTGAATTTGTAGAATGACCTTTACCAAGCCAATTAGCTTGCTTTCACTCTGGAACAACTAATGCCTAAGTGATAGCAGCCAAGGGAAGTGACTACCAGACACTGAATATGCAGTGCTAGAACAGTCTTGGTTCAAACATGCAAGGCGGCTTTCTGTTTCAGGATAAGCACTGCTAGCTGCCAAAGAGATTTTGTTCAATGCTTTTTTCCCCCCAACTAAAATGCCATTTTAAATGTCTTGTTTGTTTTTCCTGTGTTCTAGGGATCCACCTGTCATCAATGTCGCCAAAAAACCATAGACACCAAGACAAATTGTCGTAACCCTGATTGCGTAGGAGTGCGGGGCCAGTTCTGTGGGCCGTGCCTCCGCAACAGATACGGGGAAGATGTCAGAACAGCACTGCTGGACCCGGTAGGACAGTGCTCAGTGGTGGTTTATTGTGCTTGACTTGCACAGCCAGGGGTACTGGTCACTGACAGCACGGGTTTTAACAGAACTGTTTGCAGTGCTGTAGTACCTCATGCACTCCTGGCTTGAATTCACCCTGAATCACAGAACTATATTGTGTAGAACTGGTTGTGTTCACTACTTCTGCAGTTTTATTTGCAGGAGTAACGTATGAGAACAGAGCAGCAGCCAAAATATTCATGTGTTTAAGCATCAGAATACCATTCTCTTTTTGCTGAATGCCCTATGGAAAGGAACTGTATTGTGGACAAGGTGCTGCTGCTGTGGGCTGTGATGTAGGAGTTAAAACAGAGTAGAATGCTTCCTGTCGTTTTGTGTGAGGCAAGCAATGGAGAGCTTAATCCCCTGCAGACTGAGGAATTTGTACTCTTGCACTAGTTTAGACAACTTTATGCAGTGCTGATTTTCACTGCAGAACTCAATGTGTAGCAGGGCACTCTTCTAAGTTGTGGATGTGAGTTACATCTGGCATAGCATCTCAGCTAAAATGGCTGCTTCTTGTCTCCCATGTAGACATGGAGGTGCCCCCCGTGTCGTGGAATCTGCAACTGTAGCTTCTGCAGACAACGAGATGGCAGATGTGCTACAGGTGTCCTGGTCTATCTGGCCAAGTACCACGGCTTTGACAATGTCCATGCCTACTTGAAAAGGTGAGTGTGCCATTGTGTCAGCAACGTGGCTGCATTAAGTGGGATAAGCATCTCAAAAGTGGGAGGGCAAAGATGTCCACATCCTAGTTCATCAGGTAAGTCTCAAGATTACTGTGTTGCCTCCAGAGTCTGAGATTTTGCCCTATGGTATGCTTTCAGGTTTTTACCTGAAACAAGTCATACAACTACTCTGCCTTTTAGCTCTCAGCCTCAGTGTGTATTGTCAGGGCTTCTACTCATTGGTCTAAAGAGCTTTCAGTTTTGCCACAAGCTGACTCATGTTCTTACTTGTCTTTCAGTCTGAAACAAGAACTTGGAATGGAAGACTGAAGCTGTGACTGCCTTTAAATTACATACTCTTTCACCAATGTAATATTATTGCCTGCAGTGAATTGTTTAATCAAATGACATTACAAAGTGCCTTCCCTGCTTCCCTTTCGTTTTGGGTAAAAAAGGATAAAAACCTTTCATTTATTTCAGTATAAATTAATGCAGGTCTTTATCCACGGGCCATTGTTCTCTCTTTAAACAACTTTGCAAATCAGATAGCATCAGTCCTTGTTTTCATGACGGTAACTTCTTTTCTTCTTCCTGAAAGGAGATTGGGCTTTAAGTCATTAAAGTTTAAGTTTCACTCATGCAGCAATCTATGCTGCAGGTTTACTTATGCTCCAAAATTGGTTACAAAAATAGAGAGATGTTCTGAAAACTTGGGGCGGTTTTCTTCACAGAACCAAGCAGCCAACTTCTGCAATGCAGACGCTTCATGATCAAATGGGATTGTAGAATTCTCTGAAACAGCAGCATGTTCTTAAGTTAAAAAAGGAAGCCCTGTAAGTTGCAGCTGAGCAGTCTCCAAGCACTAATAGTTGATTTTATAGAGTACTAAAGGTTCACACTGGCTATTTCAAAGGAGATTCTCTGAATTAAAAAGTGCAGTAGACACCGTTTGACGTGGCACTTTGTTTTTGCGCAGATGACAGGAGGCCACTGCTGAAAGCTTCCACAACACTAGCATTGCCTACTGGTGACGGTGATAGGAACGTGCTGGTATGCACTGTGTAGTGTCCCTGTGATAAATTACTGTTTTGGTGGACTCTTTTCCCTGTTCCTGCTGCAGCTGCAGAGCTGCTTTGCAGAGTCAGCATAGGTCCTGGGGAAGAGGGATACCTCCAGACCAGGGCTTGATCAAGTAGAGGGTTGGTAGTTCATGTGGCTGTTGGCCATCCTTGAGTGGAGGAAAGGTGGTAACTTGTTCAGTTTGGTTATCAGGAAAACAGGCAATGAATGTTTCTGTATCTGGCTCTTTGTGATTGTGGAAGATTCTTTCACATGACATTTGTGAAATATGAGTACAGCAGAAATGGAGCTGAAGAATTCTGATACACTGAGCACGTAGGGGTCTCCTGTACTCTGTTGTAGAAAAGAAGGTGCCATGAAAATTGCATCCAGAGAACCATAAAGGGTCTAAATGTGCTTAGTTTGTTAGGGAAGCTACTGTGTAAGCTTTTTATAAGGTTTAGAATGTAATGCTATAAATAATGTACAGTTGAATAGTAGAAGAATCAACATGGGTTTACACTTCTGTGCTTGCACAGTATTTGCACTGTGTGTATACAAAATGATCCACAATTCATACCTTTCTGGGAACTGCATCAGTGTGTGTGGGAAGGGAGGAGAGGAATTTAGAAACAACAGATATTTATGTCTCAGACTTCCAGTTCTGTTATCATAAATCATCTCTCCTATTGCAAATCTCCTGTCCTCTCTTTGTCTGTTTTTATAGTGTGAATAGCTGTGCAATCTGAGGTGTGGAGAGTGCTCTTCCCTCTAGGTACATTTTGTGAAGAAGGAACTCATTTTAGAAATACATGTTCTGACAGATAAAAGTGGTTGGTTTTTTTTTCCTCCTAATTGCTTGCCTTGCCTTCTGATTGCTAGAGTGTGAAAGTACTTTGCTAAAAGCAGACCCTTATGTTACATTACAGAGACTGCTGTATTTAGATATACTCAGATCTACACTGTTCTGTACAAAATTTTTTATTTTGAAAATAAAAATTTTCTGTTTTAGAATATTTTTGTCTGTGAACTGGTTTTTAAAAGGCTGTTAGAGCTGTACTTCTATTTTACCACTTTCAGGTGGACTTAGGCTGTGAAATAAAGGACTTGGTTGTTTGCATCACACCTGGGGGAGCAGTGGGACTTGGACATCTTATTATCTCTGGCCCTGTGTTCCTGAATCAGGCTTGCTCTGATATTCCTGCTGCTAGGATTGAATTGTTCGGTACCTGGTGACTAAGTGGTGATGGTCAAAATACAGAGTGCTTAGTGTATCAGGCTTGATACAGGCTCTAAGGATAAAATTTTGGACACAAGTTGGAGTAATGTGTCTGCTGTTTAAATTTACTTATTTATTATTTTACAAACAAGCTCTTAAGTAGCCTCTCAGGAGCTCTTTTCCTGAAGCAGAGAATTACCTGAGGGACTTTTGATTGCATGCTGATAGTGAAGATGCTTGTGCTGCTTTTGTGTCCTGGGTCTAGAGGCAGGAGGTGCATGAGGCTGTGGCAGAAGGTAACCCAAAGCTGTAACCTTCTGTAGCGAGAGGAAATGGGAAAGAAGTGATCCAGCTGAATGACTGAGCTGTCCCAAATATTCTTTGCTGATAAAATCCTCACCTTGTTACTCTCACCTAAAAGCTGTGTTTAGATGTGCCTTTCCTCACACTGCTGGTGATGTGAGAATAAATTCATATTTATGAATCCTGTAGGATGGTAGTTTGTTTTATGTGATGATTTTGAGCTGTCTCAATATGCCACTTTCCCCAAGCCCCTCTGCCACAGCTACTTAAGTGCTGCTGATGTGGACTTGAAAAATAGTTAATGAGTTCATGATTTATAAGTGCAGTGAATGAACAGCAATTTAAGAAACTTAAGAGGAAAAGGTCCTGTCAGCTTTAAAAACCAAAGATGCATGGAAATAGAGTATCACTGTGTAAGAAAGAAAGAATGAAGCTCATGTATGAGGTAGAATGAGTACTGATTTATAATTGAAAAGGGCTACATGAGTTGACATTTCCTCACTACTCAGCTTTAGAGCCAGGTGATCTTGTGCATAGGTCTGAAAAAGCTTTTTTTTCTTAACCTGATGCAATCATTTATAATGAATATATAGTATATACTGATTAAATTTGCCACAGCTTCCCTATTATCAGAAGATTTTCTTAGGCTGGTATATATTAATATATATGTTGTTTGCTTCTTCCCCATTCCACTTTCTAATTAAGCTAAACATTGAAGCATTAGGTCTCTTCAAATCTTGAGAAAAAACATTTTTGTTTTCCTTAACAATTTTTTTTCATTGTATGTAAGCTAAAGAAGCAGCATGGTGGTGTTACTTCACAGGCTGAAGCCTACAGTAAAGGTTTCAAAGCAGCACACTTGGCTGCTTAACCAGTTATATTAGTGTAGGGAACTGCAGTGGAATTTTAACTTTGGAAACTACCCCTCTCCTTCCTAGCCTCGTGTGCTGGTACACCTTTATGTTGTCTGCCAGCAGCTAAAAATGTATTTTGAAGAGAAAAGCACAGAGATGGCAACATACTGAAGCATCATCATCATTTGCTTAGGTAGGCAGATGAAATGAAAAAGGGCAAAATGCTGATGCCTAGTTAAAGAATGACTTGAAGTGTTTCAGGGTGAGGGAACTCAGCTGACTTTGAAACCATTTGTAATACACTGTGCATCTGAAACTTTTGGCAAGAGAGTCACCCACTGACCTCTGCTGGCATAATCTAGTTTGTTCTCTTACACCTTTTCATGAGTACAGCTTTTGCATGGCTAATAGCATGAGCTAGTGGGGAGATTTTGGAAACACTGGCCTCTAAAGCAAGTGAGTGAAAAGATAAAACTGTCAGAGGCTGGCCAGTTGACGGATTCCTAAACACCAGCACCCAGATAATGCTGGGCTTTGTTGTAGGTACAGGTGAGTACATGAGCTCCAAATGCCAAAGAGAAAGGACAGCACCACACTTGCATGACTGGGTCTCACTATTCTCCCAAATCATATGCCTGGGTCTCCTAAAAGGGGGTCAAAAACCCCACAAGCCCTTTGGACTTGGGAAACAGTAGGGGAATTAAATGTTTGAACTCAAAAATGTATGACAGGTGCTAGACGGGTAGGAATCCTGAAAACAGAAGGTGAGGGGGGAACAGGGAATGCTATTTTGACTGATAGAAAAGTTGTGGATGTTGAATCTGTATGAAAATGTGTCTAGAGCATAGATATGCAGTCATACTAAACCAGTTCTTGTTGCTCTTTGGTACAGGCTTTCTTCCAGCTAGAACTGATCAAGCTCTTGTTTTAAGGATGGCAGACAATTCTGTTATATGAAAAAAAATAAACCAGAAGTTATGGTATGGTCAGGATGGAGCAAGAAGGCGTTGCATCTGTCTCTGGTAGTAGTACTTCAGTAGTTTTTGTACTGATTACTTGGACTTGAAAAAAAATCAGTTGAAGTGTAGCTCCAGCTGTGTTGAAACCTACTGATACAGTCTTTCCTTTAGAATATGTCTACAGGCAAAACTTACATCAACTTCTGAAAGCAGATATAAAATGTTACTGAAATTATAGATTTGTGTTTGGACTCAAGCTAGCTTTAAATCCTTTCTTGTCTCTTAATGTAACTGCAGGCACAGAGAATGGAATTATGTGCTAGGTTGTTGTCAAGAGGTGTAAGTAACAGAAGCCTTTGGCAACCATCCTCAGTTTCTTTTAATCACATACACAATAACAAAGCAACCCTACCAGCACTCCTTTTGGCCTTCCCTTACCTCTTTTTAGCTTGAATATCCGTGTAAAAGTGGCTTGTTTGTGAATTGCTACATAAGCTTCACAACTGACTGACACTAGGACTGATAGTGAGAGCTCTCCCACAAATAAAAATTGTTATTGTTCATGTTTTCAGAGAATTACTAGTTGTCTCCTCTCTGGATATCCAAACAAACTCCTGTTTGAAAATAAAACTACTGGAAAGACTGTACTGAATATTTAAACATTTTAGACTTGAGAGAAATTTAGAAGGTTTCTACTTTATTAGATAGTTGAAGTAAAGTAAGTTCAATCAGTGTCCACCATTTTGTCAAACACCTTGAAAGTTCACTGATTTTAGATGTGCTCTAAAGTTCCAGATATAGAGGCTTAGCAATGTTCCTACTCAAATGTGAATGAATACAGGCACTCTTATCTTACATGATTGTCTTCTTATATAGCTTATTAGCAGAATTTAGCAGTAGGAAAGATTCTATTTCTTAGTGCTTTTGTGCTGTGTATTTTTTGTTGTTGTTGGGTGTGTTGGGGGGTTGGTGTTGGTTTTGGGTATTTCTTTTTGAGGCTAGTTGTAATGTGAATACAAGTGATAACAGTGAATCATCAGGAAAAAAAAAAGCCCTTTGGAAATAAGCCAGAGTCAAATTCTTTTCTCGTGCTCTGTTCAATCTGCTTCCTCTTTAAAAGAAAACTTTCACATTAGCAGAAAAATAAATGCTTAGCCAGAGTTCTTTTTGTGTCCCTTTCAGCAGGGAGAAGGGAATGAGTGTGCTGAGCTCAATGCCCATGCTGGCTTCCTCCTGCCGTGGAGAGTTAACACTCTAAAGCTTTTTCTTCCCCCTTTATTTCTCTTTCCATTTAATTCTTATGAAAAAGTTGCGATGTGTTACAATTTTAGTATTGGAAACCAAGCACAGAGTTTTGTTGTGAGGAACTGAAATGCTTTGATGTAATCCTGGTTTTTTTTCAGGAGAAGTTACTTCTAGTTTTTAAATGGTTGGTGTGGCTAGAAAACAGCATTGGTACTACAAAGCTCTGAAAAGCACCTCCAGTAAATAAAAAATATACCTGTGTGTATGATACTTATGTGCCCATTACAGAATACAAATTCAGTGTTCTGTCAAAACCCACTGGTATGATCTTAAGTCACTTTTCCTGTAGTTGCAAGACCCCATTCACTAACATAGCTAAAAGCCTGCTTTGGAAAAAAATTAACACTTGAATGTTCCTAATGTGAGTACAATTAATTTTCATCAAGACATGCAGATTTACCCACAGCAAGGAATAATGCTTTTCTCTTTTTTTTTTTTTCCTGTTTAATTACTAAGCACAGGCTGGAGACACACACCCTTTCTCTTTGCAAACAAGATTTAGTTTATTTCTTTGACATACTGGTGAGTATATTTTACATTATAGCTGATGCACCGGAGTTGAGAGTATTGTAGTCTCTCAGGTACCATCAGTTTTATTCCCACCTGGTTTTCCATTTTCTAAAAATCTTGTGTCTAGCTTTTGATTTCTATTTTTCTTTCCAGTTCTGAAGGCAAGTTCTGAATGAGATGAACAATTTGGCTGATGTCAGGCTTAACTAACTTGCTAATTAAGCCTGACTGCTGAAATGTAGCTTCTGTTTTCCTCTGTACAGATAGCACATTATACTTTTTACATATTGGGATCCACAAGGAAATGTTTTTCCTGCCATATCTTAGAGTCCCCTGATACCTCCCTTGCACCTCCCAGTGAGCCACAGCTTGCTGTGTAATATGCAAGAAGACATGGATTTTGTAAATAGCTTAGTTTCTACTAAACACTCAACTCCTCTACACACTTCAAAGGACCTCAAGCTCTTTCTGCCTCAATTTTTGAGCAGTATTTTCTTGATGTTTGCATGGCACCTAAACCATGTTGACCTTTTCCCTCAGAAAACAGTTGCTGCAGCCAGAAGAGGTACTAGAGGTACTGTTGCTAGTGCTTTTACCTGTAGTTGTACTGAGCTCTGCAATGTTGTGATTAGTGTGTTTCTGGGGACATGGAGCACCAAAAATAAAAAGAGGGGAGAGGA